TACTTTACTAAGTCACCACATTCCTTTTATTTTAAAGCTAAAAATAAATATATAATAATTTAAAAAAAAATTTTTTATTACAGTAATACAAACTTTTAATAATACAGTTAAATTGATGAAAACTTATAAACATCTTTATAAAAATAAACAGACAAACTGAATAATAATAATATATAGAGAAACATATGACCAACCAGGCTGCCAAAATCACTAAAAAAAAGAAATACTAAGATATATCATATTGAATCATTTGGATTAGAAGTTTGAGAAATCTGTCAATTCTAAGTTGTAATTAATAAAAGATAATAAAAAAAATAGCAGAAAAATAAGTATTGAGATTTAAATGAACTTTATAAGAATAAAAATAGTGTAATATAGCAGTTTAAGGTTAATCCTAATTGCAAATATTAAATACCTATAACATGTTACATAAAACTAGATTAACTATATATAAAATATGAAAAGTTCTAATAATAGTGCTTCTGAGAATATACTGCATGAAATAAGATATAAGGTTCTAAAGATACAAGTAAACATCTAACCTTCTTGACTAACATGTATATTGAAGATAATCTAATAATACAGTAAGGATTACAATACAGAAGGTTTAAATAAGCAATGCTTCTAGTTTGATTGCAAATATAACAGCTAATGTAAAACCATCAATGAACTACTTAAATTAGACATTAAAAATGTATATGTGACTAGTGTATTCTCTAATATAAAGGTGACTCCTTTGAGGCCTTGGCCATGAGTTCTTATATCCTAATTACATTTTAATTATTGAATAAAAAACCCAATTTTAAAAGAAGCTAATTTAATATAAAAAAAAAAGGTTTTAAATAAAATAATAATAATCAAATTTTATATAATTTTAAAAAATTATAATAATATAAAAAATGATTATATAAAATATTAACTATATTTAAATATCAACTATATATATAATTAACCAATTAATTTATAAAATTAAATATAACATACAGATTAGTTTTGTATAAAACAAAATTTTTTTACAAATTAATTATATTTCAAAACTTTGCCTATAACCCCATTTTTAAACTAACAAAAAAATTTTTTTTGAAAAATTTTACTACAATTTTTGTTCAACTCTACTATTAAACCCTTACCCTTACCTAATATCAAAAGTTAAATTTTTAAAAATGTTTATACATTTCACCTAATTATGTATTTGTAGATCACCGAAATAATTTTTTAAAATTAAATAATACAATTTAAATTCTAAATTCCCGATTCCGTGATGTAATCTGGGGGCCACGCTAATTTGAAAATAGCTATAATTATTGCCACGACTGATGCCGATTTTGGGGAACCATTACACCTATCAAAACCCACATATAATAATCTTTTAAGCTTTAAATTCTAGTCCAAATGTTATAAAAAAGCACACCAAAAAATAATTTTGTATTAAAATAGGATCCCAAAATCGGCATCGGCCGTGTCAATTATTGAAATAGATAATTAAAAAGTTGAATACCTTGCTTTATTAAAAAAAAATTCTAAAGAATGTTAACCATTTATTATTCTTTTTTTTCACTATGCTTTCCGTTATAACAGTATTTCGCGAGCTAAATCACTACCCCATGTAAAATACTTATAAAAATGTTTCTGCAGTGCATGGCTTATTATTTATTAACGTAGCAAATTATTCCCATTGCAATATTATGAGTGGTGATACTTACAATATGCACCGAAGAAATATGATCAGACGGAAAAGTGGTCTAGCCCGCAAACATATCATGAAATATTATTGGGGATCAACTACTTTTTAAGATTGCAAATCAGGTTCCTGCCAGCATTAGCTTCGATAAGGATTCCAAAGTTCCCATTTCCAAATCATTGGATTTTAACATTATCATGCAAAAGCATACGATCATGACTTTTTTTCATATTATAATGCAATTTGGATTAAGCAAAGTAAGCACAGACAGCCAATTACAGCTTGTGAAGCATGATCGTGAATTGCATGATAATGTCGATATTGATCATGCAACGACTAATGTCGTGAAAGTAATTCTGCTGCGTAGCAGAACAATGCAACAGTTAATATCTTATAGTTACCCTAAAAAAAATTATTATTTCACGCGTAGAATATTACTGTTGTGATGTGCTTAACTTCAGTATCAAAGAAAATAGATTAGGTACAAAAGTATTTGAGACTTTCTCACTCAATCACATAGAGGAGTCAAGTTTATTCAATGAGAGCGTTACATTATTCATTGCTCTCCCTCTTAGAAATTATGCAGCCTCTTTCATAAAATAAATTCATCAAACATGATAATCATAACTTGCGAGAAGCTCAAACCCTCCTCTTCTCAGGAGCTTTCTATTAATTGTTAATTTGAGGTTAGTCATAAATTCACAGACAAAATTAACATGTATAAGTAGTCACAAATTAACGCACAGCCAAAATGTCACTGAATTCTTGATATGGAGACTGTTTAAACTCAACATCTTTCCACCGGTCGGGAGTCAAGAAAGCATAGGTATTACCAATGGCAGCGAAAGTAGCCTTAACAAAGTTACCCAAGGTACGAGTAGATCCACGTGATGTGGTATAACAATCAGTAATACCTGCCAATTGCAAAAGCTTTTTAGGAGTAGGAGCGGCGACAATGCCAGTACCACGAGGTGCAGGAACGAGACGGCATATGACGGAACCACATCTACCGGTAACTTTGGAAGGAACTGTGTGCGGATCACCAAGTAAAGAACCCCAGTAACCACGTCGGACTGGGATGACAGAAAGCTTAGCAAGAATGATAGCACCACGGATAGCGGTAGCGACTTCTTTTGAGCACTTGACACCAAGCCCAACATGTCCATTGGAATCACCAATTACAACAAAGGCCTACATACAATACTGTTAAGTATATGTAGAACAATAAATATAACCAACATATTAATTAATTCTCGAAACTATAATAACCTTGAATCGAGTTCGTTGACCAGCACGGGTCTGTTTTTGGACAGGCATTATCTTCATGACCTCATCTTTTAAAGAGGAACCAAAGAAGCGGTCTACTATCTGGAATTCCTTAATTGGAAGCGAAAATATATAGATTTGTTCAATGGTTTTAATTTTCCCTTCTTTGACCAGACGACCAAGTTTAGTAACAGGAATCCTAGATTATACCGAAAGTCAATTTAATTAATCTCCTACTATCTATTCAAATCATTGCTTTATTACCATTCTTTGTCGTCGTCCTTGCGAGCACCTCGACGAAGGCCACGACCGCGACCCCGTCCTCGGCCTCTATCACCACGACCGCGTCCGAAACCACTACGTCCTATAACAAAAGTTTTTATTCAAAGACCCAACGTAAAGATTACAAACAGCCGAGTTTTCAAGATATTCATTGAACGAGTTTAAGGCCGATCTCGTATGAATGTGAAGTTTAAACTTGTTCCTTTTGCGGTTGCGCTCTTAAAGTTTAAAACTTACCACCACGACTATCGGCCGTTCCTGAGTCAGCCATGTGCTTTGAAATTTCAAATAAGGATATATAAAAATATGTGGTTAAGAACACTTGAAAAAATATATATAATATTTAAACTAAACAATAGATAGATCGGAGTCGCAAAAAGTTATAGCAACTAATAAAGATTTGATATAGTGCCCAAGTATAAACTAGCTGAATATCGTTTAAATTTATATTGTCAACCGATGGATTGGATACTCACATAATCTTTGAATTTGGATGAATTTTTATTTCGGTGGAAACTAGAGAGGAGGAAGTTTAATCTTTCACAACCTCGTTTTATATGAATGGCCTGGCCGACTTAAAGTAGGCCACAACTAAAATCGGTTTAATTGGCTGTTAAAAAATCACATGAAATCAACATCATCTTTCATCTTTTCCAAAGATTTCAAAATCACAAGACACATAACGATAACGATAAGTGAGCATGCAACTAAATAATTCATACAATTTAATATCGGAAAAAAGAATGTTTTTTTTGAATAAAATATTGATTTTCTATCTGTACACGGGTATGTGATATTTTATTATTTAGAAAGTGATTATAATTCTCCAATAAATAAGTCGCACTTGGTTTAATGAATGATATATCACAAGAGTTTGATCAAACCAGCTAAAAAATCAATAATACAGGCCCATAGGTCGGGCCTAATTTTTAAATAACAAAACCCATTCCGGCCTGTTTTTTTTGTTTTCTCTGAGCTCAGCACGTTGGTTTTGATCATCAAGCCAAAAGAGCGTAAACGTTAAAATATAGTACAGACTTTGTTTACTTTGGTGATTGATCTCTAGTACCTAGAAGTCAAACCGTAAACCTTAGATTGGACCGGACGGACTTTCAACGTCCCTAATACTGTATATGATACTTTTATTTATAATGTGATCTAACATAAGAAATCCGAATTTAAATTCTAACCAATCAAACCCAACTTCTTTCTGCTGCGCCGATTAATTTAATGCATCCTTCGTGTTCGATCAAGAATAACCTTTACTTGTTTACATGGAACACATCCGATATACCAAAGTGAGAAACATTGATGCAGTGGTGTTTGGAAAATATGAGATCGCGACCTGGTACTACTCGCCCTTCCCCGATGAGTACAAAAATGTTAAAAAAATATATGTATGTCAACATTGCATGAAATATATGAAGGTCAAGGAAACATATGGTCGACACACGGTTAGTTACGGTGGTTAGTTACGGTGATTTGTTACATGATTTGAAAATCTTTGTGAACAGAAGAATTTACTACTTTATTACTGCTAATAAATAGTCTTTATGCGAATGGAAGTGCCCACCAGGTGATAAGATATATGAAGTAGGCAGGAACAAAATATACGAGGTGGATGGAAAATCACATAAGGCATGCTGACTTATGTCATTATCACTTTATTTACGGTTCAGTGCCGAACTTGAAACCCTTATGTTTCGATTTTTGTATTTAGCTTTACTGTCAGAATTTTTGCCTGTTGGCAAAATTCTTTCTCGATAACAAAATGATATATTATGATGTAGAATCGTTTCTATTTTATATTTTGACAGAGGTCGATGATCGCAATGAAGAACATGTTATCGGATATTTCTCGAAGGTAAAATTATCTAAATTAATGACAAATTGGTAACAATGTTATAAATGCAATTCAAATCATTACTTTTTTGTTCGCCTGATAGGAAAAAATTTCGTATGATAATTACAATTTAGCTTGTATTCTTGTTTTCCCTCCCTATCAAAGGCGAGGGTACGGCCTATTACTAATAGATTTCAGTGAGTAGATACAAAAAGTTATATTTCAAAAGTTTAATCGTTACCAAACTTAATTTCACCTCAACACCATTTTATAAGGCTACGAGCTCTCTAAAAGAGAGCATAAAATTGGATCACCTGAACGACCAATATCAGATTTGGGTATTAAGGGATACCATTCCTATTGGAAACGTACAATACTGAAAATTCTCCAAGATCATACACCTAATCTCTATAAAGTCCAAGAGGGCGCGAGTACTATTAATGGTGACGAAATGTCACATAATGACAACGGGAGATTCATGATTACCATTAATGAAATTTCACTGATGACGAGTATTCGTAGAGAAGATATTATATATACTCTCCAGGAGATGGGCTTTCTTAAATACAGAAATCCAAATGTTGACAACGTTAATTATGCTAACGTCACTAATGATGTAAATAATCATGCTGCTAACGGTACCGAACAACATGATCTTTATGAACAACAGTCACATAATAATAGCCCTCAACAAGTACAGTACCAGTTACACCGTAACGAGGAATTTGCACAGCAAAGGCACCAACAACATATTATATGTATTACGCGCAGAATGATTGATGATTACATAAGGAATCATGGTGTAAAACTTGATAATAGGACAGTTGACATTTGTGGTCTCAAATGTAGAGATGATAATCGATTAGGGAATGATCAATCATTCAATTTGTTTGATCGTGACCGAATATAAATAATGTTTTTTGAGTATGGTCGGTCGAACATGTTCGATCATTAAAAATTGCCATTCTTGACACCATGAATCACTCGTATTATATTCTCTACAATGTGCAAATTTTTCACAATTCGGATATCTATAATCGTTAATGATATTATTATTTCATGTTATTCGTACGACTCAAATTTAAATATATAGACTAGTCAACGTGAATAGAATGGATATTCATTAAATAGTTTTAAGAATTTCTACTTTAAAATATAAAATCCAAATAACTTACAATAATAATAATTGTCTATTATTTTCATGTTAAAGCCATACGTAGTATTAATGTTATGTTGAAGTTAACATCTTAAGGGTAGGGGGTATGTAGATTATTTTTATATAGTTTTATATAGTATTTTGAAATTTTCATATAAAATTGAAATATACTATTTATAAAACTTTTTTAAA